CCAATGCTTTCCAAAAAAAAAAAAAACAACCCCAAAACCAACAAAAAGCCAACGCGCACAACATCGCAGCCCGAAAGTTAGCAAGGGAACGACCAACTCCGCAATACGTTAAACACGTCACTTCATACACTTTATGGCATTTAAGATGTATTTTGCTTCTTGATTCCCATTGCCAGAGTTTTCCAATTCAACACTGAATAAACCCTCAGAAGAAAGCCACAGGGAAGCTGATATTTCAAGTTAGAGTTTATCAGCGGGATTTGTCATACACTGCCAAAGGAAGTGGTCAGTAACAAAAACTTTTTATCATGGATGGTTGGTTGAAGCTGAAAAGACACCAGAGGAAGCCTAAGTTATTTTAATATGGTAGGCCACTGTCAGAGCTGCAGAGAGGGAGATAAACTCTGTAAAGGACAAACTTGAGAGAGTTTGTAACAGGATTTTTATTATGCAAATTTGGAAACAGTAATATACTGTTTACAAATACTAAAGATCACCTTTTTTCTGTAACTATATACTACTTGCCTATCCTTGATAATGTTATAAGTGGTCCTATAGCAAAGTAGCAGGCAATTAGGAAACTGTAATTATGTCTTAAATTTGTCATAAAGGGTATGCTTCACTACTGTCCTAAGTTTTCTGTATACTATCCCAAATTCTGTACATTTATTTTTAAAACAGCATCAGCATCTCTAAAAATAGAGATAATTGATAATGTAAATAACAACAAAAAACGTTAAAACAAATAGCTTCAATAGCTCTCAAGTTTAACAATAACGAAATCAAACATCAGCAATGAGAGGTTCAAGCCTCACGCCAGATCGCATTTCCCTTGGTCTAGGGGAGCAGAGCAGCTCAGCTAGGCAGGGCCAGGATACCAACTTTTCCTCAGTGTAGTTCTCCATCTACTGGAGAAACGCAGCAACAAAGTTTTAGCAACATTTCATATGACAGACCACTTTCGAAACCAGCTTGTTAACGTTTCTAGCAATAATAGGAATTGTTATAAATTTAATGTAGTTTCTTACTTTGTTGTGAAACATTCGTATGTAAGCACTTCTTGTAGTTCAGAATATTGGGTTTTAGGGTATTCCCAGGATTTTTCTAATGCTTTTATATAAATCGGCGAGCGCTGCTGGGTGCAAGCGTGCAGCCCCCCCACCCGGGGGCTTGCGCGCAGCCAGGAGCACGAAACGAGTTTGCTCGGTCTCAGTTTCCCTCCCGACACGGTGGCCGGAGGCAGCGGGGCCAGAGCAGGAGGAAGGGGAAGAAATTGGAAAGAAGCAGACAAGGGCGAAGGGGAGTTATTTGGGGGCAGAGGGAGATTAAGACTGAAGAGCAGGGAGAAAAAGGAGGGAAAGAAAAAGGAGAAAAAGAAAAAAAGGGGGAAAAAAGACATTAAAGGGCGACACGGTGGCCGGAGGCAGCGGGGCCAGAGCAGGAGGAAGGGGAAGAAATTGGAAAGAAGCAGACAAGGGCGAAGGGGAGTTATTTGGGGGCAGAGGGAGATTAAGACTGAAGAGCAGGGAGAAAAAGGAGGGAAAGAAAAAGGAGAAAAAGAAAAAAAGGGGGAAAAAAGACATTAAAGGGA